AATTCACCAAATTACAACAGAACGTGCACAACAACAATATAAGACTATTATTCTACAGAATCCACATCAAGAAACATCATGATATTTTTTTATTCAATTAAAATCGCGTAGAACCAATTCCGACCGGTAAAATTATCGTAGAAAATACTCAAATCGTGTACAATATTCATATCTATAACATTCTAAAAGTTGTGCGGTGAAAGTTGTGTCAATACGAAATCAGGTCCAAAATTCGACTATGAAAACACAAAACAGGTCACAACTCGACCAAAAATCAACATCTATGAAAACAGAAATAGGATTCGGAGTCCTTACAGCGAGATAAAACAAATAACTCAACAGCGGCGACGGACGAAAAGCGCTCCGCCGCCTCCGAAATCGAACTTTTCCTTTACTTTTCCTTTCTCTTTCTCTCTCTTCAAAATTAGATATTTTTTATTTTATAAAATGATTTTCTCTCTCCTCAAATCGAGCTGATTTCCTTATAACATTAGTCTGATCGTCCTGGCCGATCGCCACATCGTCCAGGATGATGTGACCAAATTAAAATCGTACAGGACGATTTTGCAGGATGATACAAGACGATAATTTCGGTTTTGCTCTCGGGATTTTGCCATACACTGATCGTCCTGGACGATCCAGTCCAGAAATCATTCCAGAAATCAGCTGTTTTCAATGCACTGATCGGTCTGGACGATCTCAATATCGTCCTGGATGATCCTGGGAGAAAAACTCAAATCTGAGAAGGCAAATCAAAGGACGAGCTCTCACAAGTGTTAAGTAAATTATTTCTGGTGGTCTGAACCGCTAGAAACCCGTTAGAAAATGCCCTAAAATAAGCCAACTCGAGCCTTCCATTTCATTTACTCGCTTACTCCTTTCTCTCCTGCTCGACACTCGCCCTCGTCTCCTCTGCGCTATCGCAATCGAGATGCTCCCTCTGGCCGCCGATAAGGTCCCTATGATAACCCCAAGATCTAACTTGGAAAAATTATTTTTTTGATCCCTTAAATCAATCAACTATCAGAGCTATCTATAGTCATCAATCAGCGATAAACAGTATAACATAATCTATTATTTAAAAACATCAATGTTCACATTTACATTCATTCCCAAAAGTCATTTATAATACTCAGGATCTACACATAAATCATATTTTATATACAGTCATAATATAAAAGAATAATTAACAAAAGAATATAAACATGAAGAATCATAATAAATCTCACACTCCTGCTCTATTGCTCTGACCTGAAATCATTAACCACATATAATGAGCTTAAAAAGTCCAACAGGTCACCAAATACTTATAACTGAAATCAAAGCATGATATAGAAGTAATATGCATATCAATCAGTCAAATCATAGCAATCACTTTCACATGATCTTTGAGTCGATCAATGCAGAAACATAAATCAGTATAGAAACAGTAATCAATGCATAAATAGTAAGATCCACAATTGACAAATGAAGAATTAGTAAACAGTATAAAAGTCCATAAAGCTCAATGAACCAGTACATGCGTCAAATCTCTATAGTAGTCATCATATCTATAACATCATTCAATTCAATAGAGAAATCCTCGAGTCAATAACATTAGTCAAATTAATAAAGAAATCATCATATATGTATATCAGTTAAACTAATAAAGATATCATTGGGTCAATAATGTCAGTCGTTATATATAAAATTGTATAAAGCATTAAATCAATACATCATTAATGACTATTTCAATCAGATCAATGAAATAAAATTATAATATCGTTTGAGACAATTAGAATCAATCAATGCAGTAGAATCGTAGCAAAATGTATACTTGTAAATCCAGTTAATATCATGTGCTAAGTGTATCACATATAATCCAATAATCCATATCACGTATTCAGTGGATCACATGTCACTTATTTAGTATATCACATGCATAATATCAGTATAGTGAATCAGTAATATCAGTGTATATATCAATGTCTATATCAATAATAATCCAATGATAAAAACAGTAATGCAATAATAGTGAAATCATACAGTAATAGTAAATCCGTACAGTGATAATAAATCCGTATAATATCAATAAGAATAATGCTTCCAAACATAAATTTCAGTATAAGCGCTGGCTATTACGATATTTTTCAATCTTGTATCAGTATAAGTATCTTATATCCGTTGGCTCAGTAAACAGAGTCGTCACTCTTTGCCCATCAGCACAGTAGTCATCTCCTTATAACTCTCAATCAGTAATCACGTGATAAGTAGAGGATAACACCAAACCGTATTTAAAGGAAAGCCCGTCAGCCCACAATCCTATACAGGTCAATCAGTCTCTAACCAACGGTTCAACCAGTCTTTACTTATCTTTACACACACAGTCGTATCATAGTGATATAACAGTACTTTCAATTATGTAACCACATTCATTTTCATCTTATCAATGTATTGTATCAAACAAATAAGATTTAGTTTAATTTAGAAAATCCTTAAAATATCGTACAGTTGACAGAAGTCGTTATAAAATGCACAGTTTCAAAAAATTACTAAATTACTAGAGATCGTATAAAACAACATTTCAAAACTTTTATTGTACTAAAGCACTATTTTTCAACATCCAGATAATTTTCTATTCGATAAAAACCCCACAGAATTCAGAATACCCGATGAACAATTTCCAGAAAATACTCAAAACGTATAAAATTATAATCTCTATAACATACCAAATTAAAGTTACACGATAAAATTTTCATCAATACAAATATATGCACATTTTTTAGTAATGAAAACACAAATTTGAGCAGAAAAATATCAAAATATAATATCTTTGAAATTAGAAATAGGATATGGATTTCTTACTACGAGACGAACAGTTCTTCTAACTGCGTTGACGGATGAAAATCGCTCCACGGCCTCTAAAACTAAGCTTTCTTCCTCTTTCCTTCTCTTTCTCTCTCTAACTTTTTTTCTCTCAAAACAATCAAACAATCCTTTATATAAAAAAAGATATTTACATTCATACGGACGATATTTATGTTCATACCGGGATGATCGGCTCTATCCACATATCATACGGATGATAATTTATTTTCATCACTGGATGATGGGCTATATCAAAAAAATTTGTTCAGTTCGTATAGACGAACTAACAGTTCGTACAGACGAACATGCACCTTGTTCAATTCATACAGACTAACCTGCATCTTGTTCAGTTCGTACATACTAACGCTACAAGATTTAAAAAAAAAAATGACTTAAAAACATAAGGGTTTCACAGTCCCTCCGGTCGAAGATCTCACCCCCACTGCAAGGCTGAAGATTTCTCCCTGCTCCCTACTCCTGTGCGAAACCGGCCTCTGAGTGCCATAGGTTTGCATTTTTAGTTTTTTTTTTCTTTAAATTTTGAAGTTGTTTTTTATTTTGTACAATGTCACGAGGAATTGGGTTAGAGAATTAATAAGGATGAAAATGTTTGTCACTCAAGTGGATATAGGTATGAGGATTGATGTATTTTTTATAGGGATGAAAAAGATTTGTGAGAAAATTGCATGATAAGAAGCTTGGCACCTCAATAGTTTTAGATCATGTGACATAAATTTATATAACCATACCTTTTCATGTTTGAACCATGCAAAATTGATTATTTTATATCAATAACAACATAGAAAAGACTTGCTTATAGTAAAGGATGCTTAGGTGGTTGAGTGGTTTGACCCTTAGAGATAAGATATAAAATGAGCATATACGTGAAAAGGTTGGAGTAGCTCCAATGGAAGATAAAATTAGAGAGAGTCGCTTTAGATGGTTTCGTCACATTAAATGGAGGCCTTTTGATGACCTGGTAAGGTAAGTTAAGGTATTAGATTTAACTTATGTTAAGAAAGGTAGAGGTAGACCTAAAAAGATTTGGTTAGAAAATATTAGAAATGATCTTTATTTATTAGATTTAAATAAAAATTTGACTTTTAACTAGACACAATGGCGAAAAGAATTCATGTAGTCGACCCCACATAATGGTGAAAAAGGATTCTATCGCACAATACGCCCGATGCATTCCTCCACTTCAACCATCCAACTTGAATTTTGCTGATAATATCCCCATCAATTTCACCATCACTCTGAATAATAGATTCAAGATATCTAAAATGTGTACTCTTATTAATGACTTGATTGCCCAAAGTCACAATCCCATCACTAGGTATATTGCTACTAAAATTATACTATATATATTCAGTTTTAGATCTACTCAAGCGAAAACCTTTATACTCTAAAGTTGACCTCCATAATTTGAGTTTACCTTTAACTCTCTCTCTAGTCTTATCAACAAGAAGAATATCATCAGCAAAAAGCATACACCAAGGTACATCCTCTTGTAAATGTCTAGTGAGAGCATCCATGACTAAAGCAAAAAGATATGGACTTAAGGCTAATCCATGATGTAATCCAACCAAATAGGAAAATACTTGGTTAAACCACCTTGTGTTTGAATACACGTAATAGCTCCTACATATACATATCTTTAATGATTTGAATATAAGCGTTATTAACTCATCTCTTTTCAAGAACTCTCCATAGCACTTCTCTTGGAACTTTATCATATGCTTTCTAAATCAAAAAATATCATATGAGATGATTGTGAGACCTACAATGTATTCCAATTCAAGTAAAGTATACTTATTCGAAAGTATAGCACGTATACTTGTTCAGGGTGCATATCTTTTAATAATTGATTTCATAACTATGTAGGGGGATGTTTGTTTCAACGTCCAAATAACTATCCAAAAAGAGAGAGATTGGATGTATAACAGATTGTTACCGGGTTGAAGAGGATTGACAGATGAATTTATATAGAGAGTTGAGACTTTCATTAAAGTTGCATCTCAACTGCCTTCTTTTAAGTTTGATAAAATGTTTAGATGTTCAGGTTTGAAGCATAAAAATTAAGCATTCCTCACGCCCGATGATGTGAAGCTTGATTTATATCTCGTATTAGATTTCTTCCAAACTACTGGATTTGGACCTCATAGGGTGAGTATGAGCCATACATAAATAGTCATGTCGGTTCATCCACAGCTTTTAAAATATTTAATGAAGATCAAATGACTAGGCCATATGAAGAACTTATTTTTGATATAACATGTCTTAATTTAAGGGCTAGTATGAAAGAGTCACCAAATATAGAAATTAATTTTTTTTTAATTATTACTTGTAGCTCAAAAACTAATTTAGGATGGTTACAAAACTCATTCTGAATTATTGATTGTAGTGAAGATGTTAAGTATTAAAATTGAATATAATATTCTTCATGATTATTTCAATAACTTCATTGGTCTTCTCAAAGAAACTAATCCAACAAATAATTTAATTCCCTCAGATTTGTATCGAACGAAGAAACTAGTATCCAAGTTAGATCTCACCACTACAAAAATTGATTGTTGTATCAATGGATGTATGTTATACTACAAAGATGATGCAATAGAAGTTTATTGTCGTACCTACAATGCACCTCAATTTAAGCCAAACTCGAGAAAATAACATCGTCAAAAAAAAGATGTTTCATATTTTTGTTTATTTTATTTACCGATCATTTCAAGACTTTAGTGATTTTATGCATCAATGAGCTTAGTAGGTCATATGAGATGGCATAAGAAGAAATTAGTAAACAGTGGTGTTCATTCTCATCCATCAGATGTTAAAGTATGAAAATATTTTGATCGAGTATATGCTTTATATTCTATTGAACCCTACAATATAAGATTGAGATTATGTACTGATGATTTTATCGCATATAGTCAAGCAGCTATACCGTACTCTTGTTGGCTAGTTATACTAAAACCATACAACCTTCCACCATATATGTGTATGACTATTCCGTACATATTCTTAACACTTATAATATCTAAACCACATAATTCAAAAGTAAAAATTAATTATTTTTTTATAACTATTAATTGATGATTTCAAGTTATTATGAGAAGAAGGTGTTTTCATATATGACATATCAACAAAATAAAATTTTCTCCTTTGTGTTGCATTGCTTTGGACCATCAGAGATTTTCTAGCTTATGTTATATTGTCTGGTTGGAGCACAGCAGGAATTTAACTTGTTCTTACTGCATGGAAAATACTAAAGTTTTTACACTAAAATATGGAGGAGAAAATACTTGGTATAATCCCGTACAGAATAGAGGCACAATGGTTTATCTTGCATATAATTTAGTAGATATAAAACATATTAGAAGATACAAAAAGATTGATCCATTTGTGTTAGCAAGTTAAGCTGTTCAAATTTATTTCAGCAAATATCCAGTGATCATAGGGATAAACAAAATTGGGTAGCGGTCACAAAAATAAAAATATGGGAGATAATTGATCAACAATACATTATAGTCATTGCACATCAAAAGGATGAGATGTCAAGTTATAGGCATGTTGAAATTGAGGAGATGCTAACTACAACCCCTAGTATTGAAATACAGTTAGAAGATATGAATAATTTAACTAGCTCATCAAGTGAGAACGAGGATAAAAATGAAGATACCTTAAAGAGGAATAAAAATATTTTTGATTTTGAGTAGTTTTTATAATTTAGAATTATAGTTTTTATAATTTAGAATTATATAATTATAGTTTTTGTAATATTTTTGAATTGTTTTGTACTTATAAAATTATAATTTTTGTATTCTAAATAATGAAAATATTAATAATTATTTTTGTATATTATGTAATTCTTTATGTTTGTAATTTACTATTGTGTATTATGTATTCTTTATTTTTTATATATTATAATAATTTATTAATTATTTCATTTAATGCAGATGACTTCAGATGATGATCCTCCTCGTAGATATATCATTTGCCTCAAAATTTTCTCTAAAAAAGTTGAGTGTTAATCCTAACAGATCGAGACAACTTGATGAAAGTGAGGGGCAGAGATCAATTCCACTAGTTATACCATCACCACCACCACTAAGGAATCAGCAGCAGTCCCTTAGCGAGCAAGGTAAAAGATAGTTAGATCCACCTACTATTGTACCACCACCCTTTCCTGGGTACTTCCCTCCTCCATTGACGAGTCATCGATTTCTCTCTCCAGATTAGGCACATGCAGCTCCATTTTATCCATATTACCCCTTACCATCATCACAAACTGGTCCATCCATCGTTTCTTATCCTTCTTACCCCCACCCATATTATTACCCATATTCGGTGCAGCTAGAACATGGTGGACCATCTAGACCAGTAGAGATTGGTGATGGGGATCATGGAGCTGTAGCAGATAAATGTCAATATATTGAGCCTGAAGGCGATACGTAAATTTAACTTATATTATTAAGTTTCTTGTGTTTTGATATATTATATATTATTGACAAAAAAATAAACTTATAGCTTCAATCCTTTAAGGTCACCTACTCACAAGATTTGGGATATATCATAAAAAATAAATATGATGCTCCTTACTTATCATGGAAGAAGATTCCAAATAAAATTAGAGATATGTGATTTGGAGAATTTAAGGTATACTTATTTGATATGAATTCAAATATTTGATTTAATTTGTATTAATATTTTTTTTATGTCTATATTTTTTTATAAAAAGAATTTAGATGGTTGTCTGAGCATAACATGAGGATCATAACAAATTTTTAGAGGAGATGATCGACTTATCTTAAGGATATGTTTACGGACATTAGAAAGTCCGGGTAGCATCCAATATGGATTGGAAAAGGGGTATGGACAGATCTGAATAGAGCTTAATTGGGCAAGCATTGAGCTCATAAAAATAAGAGAGCAAAATAAGTAGAATAGAGCATTTGACTGTGGGGGTTTAGGAAGCTCTCTTTATATTGCTGGATCTGTTTCTCATACAGAACATAGATGATGACTGGTAAAAACTTTAAATTAGTTTAATAAATATATTTATATTATTATAAATATATCTTTTATTTTCAGAAAGAGTTTCTTGATCGAGAGCTAACACCGCTGGAGTTGCATACGAGAACTCACCAACATCAAGCTGACCATCAGTGAGCTGATAAAAAGGCTAAAAAAGCTCATGTGAGTATAATTTTTTGGAGTTTGAGAATAAAAATTTATTATAATAAAACTCATTCTAATATTAATATATTTTATGAATTTATTCTCGCGGGATGATTTTGTGCTGAAGATAAAAGATATATTTGATTATGAGTATCATACATGCAGAGCTGCGATCAGATGTTGTTGGAGGAAGGCAGAGGGGGAGGATATATTGCTTGGGTTCCTAAGGTTATGCTTATGAGGGCAGTTCATCCACCTCAGTATTTTATGATCCTAGTAGAGCTGAAGAAAGTGTAAGACAGAGGGTTGCAGCGCTGATGAGAGAGATAGAAGAGATGAGAAATATTTAAAATGATATGTAGACAGAGCTGCGATCCTATACAGATGAAAATCAAAAGAAGAAAGAGCAAGAGCAAGAGCAAGAGCAGCCACATGCATAACAAGACAGTTAGGTCACAGAGGAGGATTAGTACTCTTTTCTTGTTTGATGAATTTATTGTAAATTTATTTGATTTGATGAACTTATTTGATTTGACTTATTATTTGATTATTAACTTATTATGAGTTGATGTGTTTTGATAAATATATTTATGATAATTTTTGTAATTGATTATAGTGGTGTGTTGCCCATATTTATGAAATTGTTATATTTTCTATGCAGGTTTAAAGTTTAGAATGAAAATCAGTAAAATAGAGGGGAGATTGTCACTTTTTTTCAAATGCTACAGGTTTTCGGCGGCTTACCGACGGTTTGGCCGTCGAAAACTTCGATACCCGACGGCTAATATAAGCTGTCGGAAGATTACTATTACTAGCGGTAGTTTCCGGCGGCTTACCGATGATTTATGACAGTTCTCTAACGATACACCGGTGGTGGCGCCGCCTGTAATTCCTTCGGTTATGACTGCCCGAAAACCGCCGATGCGTTACCGACGATATTCTAACGGTTTGGTCGCCGGAAATATCCAACCAAACTGACGGTTAAACAATCGGTATGCCGCCGGTAAATAATCGACGGTCATCGACGTTATGATCACTTGAAAACTACCGGCGGCACGGGCCACCGGTAAACCGTCGGTGCATAAAACCGCCGGAAATAATTTCTTACGCGATTTTTACCAGCGGATTTTAAACCGCCGCAAAGCCGCTGGTGTTTTGCTAAACCGCCGAAAATCTTATGATAATCGTCGGAACAAGCCGCCGGTAATAAGTGATTTTCCCGTAGTGAATGGGCTTAATGAAGATATTATCATGGGCTATTTTTTGGGTGTTGGCTCTTAGCCTCCTTTTATTTTGTCATTTTATCTTGCTTGTATTTAGTAGGGATATTTGACTCATTTGATTTTATTTGTTTTTTATTGTGGCTCTTTGAACATTAGCGAAATTTTGATCTTTTTAAAGAATTGTAACACTTTTTCAATCCCTATATATCAATTTTTTCCCCAAAAAAAAAAAAAAATCTTGCAGTCTTAACGATCGAGTTGGAAACCTTGAAGTCTTGGCAAGTTTGCGATCCGAAGGTCTTGAAGAGCTCCCATTCTTGAAGTGTTGGTACGTCTCTACTCGTGATCATCTTACACCCCTAGAGTTGGGCTCACATTATTTTAATAAGGCCATTTATATATATAGAGAGAGAGATCACTTTATCATTGGAGTATTTAGTTAATACAAATACTTGATGGCAATCAAGATTTTTAATTTTGACGTCATTCTTATCATGCAGGACTTTTGTTCTACGTACGATTTTTTTTTTAATTAACACTGTCAAGCCAGAAATAAGAAGGGCCATTCGTCCATTTTCGTGAAAAGCATGTGATAATAATATGTATATAGAGAGGAAAAAACGAGAGAGAGAGAGAGAGAGAGAGGAAGTGGGGAGTGGGGTCCTAAGAAACACCTAAAATTCGCTGAACAACAGCTTTGTCCGAACGTATGCATCACATCACGTCTTGCTTCTTTTTCTCCGGGTGCCTTTCAACCCCTATAAAGGTCTGCGTACCTTCCTCAGTTTTTCTCACAGATCAAAGACTTCTTCTTCTCCATTATTTGAACTTCAATTCAATAATTAAGCTTGTAAAACTAAAACAGCTTAGTCTTTTATACAGAGAACAGAGAAAGAAGAGAGAGAGAGAAGAGAGATGGGCAGAGCGCCTTGCTGTGATAAGGCCAACGTGAAGAAGGGACCTTGGTCTCCGGAGGAAGATGCAAAGCTCAAGTCTTTCATCGAAGAGCATGGAACTGGTGGCAACTGGATCGCTCTCCCTCACAAGATTGGTAAGACCTCTAATAACGTACTTTATCTCCTTAACTTCTTCATCAATAATTTCTCACTCTTCTTTTATTTATTTTCTAGAGAAGATTAATGAAGGATTCTTGATCACTTTCTCCAACTAAAAAGCTGTAGAAAACTCGAATAATTAATTAATCATTGCTTGTAATAATTAGTGATGATAAATTCAGCCAATTAATATTAGTCCTTAAAGAGTATAATAATATTCTGAGCTGGTTTTTATTTTATTGGTGCTGAAAATTTCTGTAGCTGAGGGCCCATTCAGTGTTTATGTGATTGAAAGTTAACTCAATGGGAAGATGGAGTTGATCCAATTTTAAGAGATTAAAATAGAAAGGCCTCTCTTGGTTTTTCATAGCAAAAACTTCTATTAAAATCCAATATCGAGAGCTTTGATGGTTGCTAAATAAAACTAGCTATCTTAGCTCCAAACACTTCAGTATTTTTCCTTCTATCATTTAACCAAATTACTTGTTATATTGATGACTTTTAAGGCCTAAAGAGATGTGGTAAGAGCTGTAGGCTGAGATGGCTGAACTATCTGAGGCCAAATATAAAACATGGTGGTTTCTCTGAAGAAGAAGATCAAATCATTTGTAATCTCTTCGTTAGCATTGGAAGCAGGTACATATCCAATCAAGACCTAGCTAATAATAATTTTTCCTCATTTATTCTCCAATCTCTTAAAGTCAAAATTTCATGTTAAGTATAACTCAAAATATCTATATAAATTTTCGTAGATGGTCAATTATAGCTGCTCAACTCCCTGGAAGAACTGATAATGATATCAAGAACTATTGGAACACTAGGCTCAAGAAGAAGCTTCTTGGCCGGCGAAGAGACTCGTCGTCCACATCCCAACCGCGGCATCTCCCCAATGAAAAGGGTTGTAACCCTAATCCCAACCCTAATATTGGATCCTCACTAACCCTAACTTCATCTGCTCTTGAGAGGTTGCAGCTTCACATGCAGCTCCAAGGTTTAAATAGCCCATTTTCCTTTTACAACAACACAGCGCTTTGGCCAAAGTTTTATCCTCTTGGGAATGATTGCAAGCTCTTCCAAACCATAAGTACTGATGCTATTACTACCACTGTGTATCCATTGAAGCTTTCTCAAGCAACCATGGAACCAAGTGAGCAAGCCAATTTTAGTAATTCTATGATCACAAGCTTGCAAGGAAGTTTAGGGATCTCTTCTTCTTCCTCTTCTAACCTTGATATTGAGCTCCATGACTTGCTTTGTGGTAAAGAAAGCCAGTTTTTCAATGAAATGGAAAGCTTCAAAGAAATGAATATTGAAGAGGGAATGGGCTGGTGGGGAAGCAATGGATTGGATGAGAAATCTTTGTTTACTTCGTTGGATTCGACATCGGCTCTTCGGTCTGATTTTGTGCTTCAAGAGTATAGAATGGGGTATGATTTATAGTCTCAGTAATCTTCAATGTGGAGTTTATGTTCTTTGGTTTATTAGTTTCGGCATGGAAATATTATGATGAATTATCATTGTAAATTAATTTGTGAATAATACTTTTATATGTCGATGTTCTGTGCTACATTTAAGATGAATTTGTTCGTTGATGTATAGTTGTTAATTATGCATTTACTTTCAAGAAAGTAAATTTATTTCTCTTTCCTCAGCTTCTTTGCATCAATTTGTGTGTACTGGGAGTATCTTGAGAGAGTTTTTATATCCAATTTTAAGAAGAAAAGTCATCTGGCCGTTGAGTTTAAATTCAATGGTACTTCTTCTTTCTTCTCCAATAATGGAGCTTCTTAACAAAGTATCTTCCACATTGGCTGCTTCCTTTTAACTGTTCTATTTTGGATGTAGATCGATTCCTTTGTTTGCCTTCAAGATCCACTTCAAGCTGGTCACATGGTCAGAATTTGAAAATTATTATGGGAGCTTCTTCTCTTCTTTTGATGAATATATTATCATATTACAGTTGCTTTTGTTATTTTAAGCTGATATGCTCGAGCTGGTCCTGCATGTTTGTTGGGGTCTCTGACATTTGAACTCTAGTATTTGCTGTAAGATTCTGTTTACCAGTTGCATATATTTGAACTTACCTGAAGAAGGCATAGAATTTTCTTCATTTCACATGCAATTTTCCTTGGATTAAAGTTCATACACAAGACTTTGTGCTGAACGCCAATGGCTTGGAGAATCAAGACAGTTGGAAGTCTCAGCTTTGCTGTACGTTATATTGTTAATTACTTGTTAAAAATTTTGATGCATTAGACTAATAATCATACCTTCCATGGATCGTCATTAACCCTCTCAGCCTTAGTAGTTCCTTTGCACCGCTGTTCGATTGCTTCTATTCCATCTTCTCATGCGGCAAGCTTCAGCCAAGATCATCATTGACCCTCCTTTGGTTGTCATCGAGTGCCAACACCCTCTAGTTACCAATATAGAAAGACCAATCACTACAGGAAATTCAGCCATTATCGGCAGCTTCGACCGGCGGTTGTTTAGCCACCGGTAATAACGGCGGTTTATCCAGCGGTTTGGCCTCCGGTGAATACGTACCGGCGGCTCAACCGGCCGTTATGGAAGCATATGCCGCCGGTAATGGCGGCAGTCACAAAATCGCCGAGTAAACCGCCAGTTTTAAAAGTTATCGGCGCTATACCGGCGGCCAAAACCGCTGGTGTTAAGTGATTTACTTACCGACGGCCAAAAACACCGGAAAGCCATCGGTAAAGTCGCTTTACATGGTTTTGTCACATTAAACGGAGGCCTTCTGATGACCCGGTAAGGAAAGTTAAGGTATTAGATTTGACTTATATATGTTAATAAAGGTAGAGGTAGATAATGCATTCCAATTCAAGTAAAGTATACTTGTTTGAAAGTATAGCACGTACACTTGTTAATTAAGGTTTACATGTTTTTTAATAAATATTTTCATAACTATATAGGGGAACGTTTGCTTTAACGTCCAAATGACTATCCAAGAAGAGAGATATTGGATGTATAGCAGATTATTGTCGGGTCAAAAAAATTGACAAATGAATTTATACAGGGATTTGAAACTTTTATTCAATTTGCATCTCATCTGCCTTCCTTTCAGTTTGATAAAATATTTAGATGTCCATATTTGAAGTATAAAAATCAAGCATTCCTCAAGCCTGATGATGCGAAGCTTGATTTATATCGTAGGGGATTTCTTCTAAACTGCTGGATTTGGACATCATATGGCGTGTATGAGCCACACAAAGATGCTCATGCCGGTTCATCACAGGCAGCAGGTCCATTTACTGGTCCTCACCCTCTTTACCCCTACTCATATTATTACCCATATCCGGTGCATCCAGAACAAGGTGGACCATCTAGACCAATAGAGGTTGGTGCTGGGGATCATGCAGCTGCAATAGATAAGCGTCAATACATTGAGCCTGAGCGCGATAAGTAAGTTCAGTTTATGTTATTAAGTTGATTGTATTTTGATATCTTATATGTTATTGACAAAAAAAATTAACTTACAGCTTCAATCCTTCAAGGACACCTACACATAAGATTCGGAATATCATAAAGAACAAATATGATGCTCCTTACTTATCCTGAAAGAAGATCCCAAAGGAGGTTAGGGATATGTGGTTTGAAGAATTTTAGGTATACTTATTTGGTATAAATTCAAATATTTGATTTAATTTATACTAATCTTTTTTGTTATGACTAAATTTTTACATAAAGAATTTAGGTGGTTGCTTGAGCATAGCACGAGGATCAGAACTAATTTTGAGAGGAGAGGAGCGACCTGTCTCAGGGACATGTTCACAGATATTAAAAAGTCCAGGCATCATCCAATATGGATTGGAGAGGGTGTATGGTTTGATCTGAGTAGAGCTTGGGTGACCTCTGAGTTCACAAAAATAAGAGAGCAGAATAAGCAGAACAGAGCATCTGACTATAGGGGTTTAGGAAGCTCTCTTCATACTGGTGGATCTATTCCTCATACGGAACATAGACGACGACTGATAAGAGCTTGAAATTAGTTTATTAAATATTTTTATGTTATTATAACTATATCTTATATTTTTAGAAAGAGTTTCTTGGTCGGGAGCCAACACCGCTGGAGTTGTATACGAGAACTCATCAACATCAAGCTGACCATCAGTGGGTTGATGAAAAGGCTAAGAAGACTCATGTGAGTATAATTTTTGGAGTTTAGGAATATAAATTTATTATAATAAAACTAATTGTAATATCAATATATTTTATGAATTTATTCTCGCAGGATGATTTTGTACGAGCTCGTAAAAGTCGTCAATCCATTGGTGAGGGATCATCTTCAGGATCGACCTAGATTTCTGAGTATCATACATGGTCAGATATTGTTGGAGGAAGACAGAGGGGGAGGGTATATGGCATGGGATTGCAAGGATATGCATATGATGGCAATTCATCCACCTCAGCATTTTATAATCCAAGTGGAGCTGAAGAAACTGTAAGCTAGAGGGTTGCAGCGCTGACGGAGATATTGAAGAGATGAGAAAGGTTTAAAATGAAATGCAAGCAGAGCTGTGATCTTATAGAGATGAAAGCCAAAGGAAGAAAGAGCAAGAGACAGAACATCCACATGCATCTCCAGACAGCGAGGATACGGACGAGGATTAGCACTTTTTTATGTTTGATGAACTTATGATGATCTGATTATAAAGTTATTTGATTGAACTTATTAAACTTGTGAACTTGTGAATTTGGTTGAACTTGTGAACTTTAGTTATATTTATTTTTTTGTTTGGTTTTACATATGTATATATTTATGATAATTGATTGACTATAGTGACGTGTTACCCAAAATTATTATTATTGTTTTCTATGCAGGTTTAGAGTTTAAGGTGAACCTCTCTCAAATAGAGGGGAGGTTGTCAATTTTTTTCTGATACTATAGGTTTCCGGCGACCAACTGGTGGTTTAGCCACCAGAAATGATGATACCGGACGGCGGATTAACGCTGTCGATAATTAAATATAATCGTCGGTATTTTCAGGCAGTCTACCGACGGTCTCCGGTGGTTGTCCGGCGACAAGCCAGCGGTCATACCGCCGAAAATTCCTTTGGTTCTAATCATCGATACGCCGCTGGTAAACTATACCGGTTGCTTACTGGTGGTTACCGATGTTATTTTTACCATCGGTGTAACGGCCGGACAGTCGCTGGTAAAACATCGTCGGAAACCGACGGTTAAATCACTGGCCATAACCAACGGTAAACCATTAGTGAAAAAAATGGTCGGAAATGAACATCTGGTAAGGGTTTCCAGCGCCCTTTTTACCGAAGGTCTAGGAACCACCGAAATGCCAGTGATTTTTTTTAAAACTGCCAGAAATATTTACTTAACCGCTGATCCAGGCCGCCGGTAATGGCTGAATTTCCTGTAGTGAATATGTTTGGTCATGTCAATGTGGTTAACCATATTAAGACAACTGTTTATCCTACTTAGGCTTTCATGGTCCAAGTGGCAACTAGCCTAAGATCAATTTGGGTCCATTTAGGTACATGCATGGCAACTCAATTAGTTGAAATAAAATAGGTCAATTTGGCTTCACTTAATTTAGGTGCATAAAGTGACTCACTTGGGGCTTGATCCTAGTTCTTGTGACTAAAAGGAATCAAGAACATCACCAAACATGTACTCAATATATAATAAAAATAAGAATAATATCATCAACAAATATCTAACAATAAAGAAGTGCAGATGTTCATAAAACAAACAAGCAAATATGTCCACAAATACATAATAACATATATCTACAGCATTAAAATTAACAACTACTATGATTCAGTCTCCTCCTCTGCTCATGTAGCTATATTCTGTCCACTTAATTGCTCCCTCATCTTTCACATTTCCTTTAATATTTGAGTTTGTTGCAACTGCACCTGAGTGTGTTGCATCTCCATCTGCTGCTGAATTTGCATGTGCCAGTCAACTTGTGCTTTCCTTACATGCTCTAGTCGATTATAAGTGCAGCTACATGTTGGCTATATAAAAATTTCTGGGTATTTGCTGAGAAGCTGGAGCCACCAGATGTGAGACCCTCATATATATAGGCTTGTGAGCCTAAACTATATACTCTGTTGTACTGCATTCCTCCTACCACTTCTGACCAAGTGAAATAGTCAGAATATTCTATTGATCCACCAGAAGAACCTTCATATGCTACAGCCTGGCTCTCTCGAAGTCGTGTATACTCCTATGAAAATTAATAAAAACTAATTAATTTATGCATGATATCAAAAAAATTAAACTTATATACTTACTTAGGTTCTCCTCGCTCGCTCATTAACTCATTGTTGGTCCACATGCCACTTATGGTATGACTATGCTATTCAGCAGGGGTCAGTTCTCTACCTAGCACATCTTTCTATAACAAACATATATTAGTATTTATATTAAAGTAAATTATTAAAAGATTTTAAATTTTCTTACCAAATGTCTTCTGTGTTTAGTATTGGAACATAACCCCCCAGTATGAAGGGAACTATCAATGTCCCCAACATCAGAAGGTCTGTTCTGCCTATTTTGATCCATCTTCCTAC